GTGCCACAAAATATTAAGTAAATATTCTTAGCTCCAAAAAGGAAGGAATTGGTCAAATTCTCTTAGCAATTGGGTACAACTACAAACAAATATGTTGGTTAGCACTGCAAAAAGATTGAGAAACGCTGCTCTAAATTATTCGCAAGGTAAAAGAGTACAGAACGACTTTTGTATTACTATATTTAAAAACAATGCATTAAATATCAGGTACATTAGTTTAGTTCAGTGTTTATCAAACATTTTGGTCCGCAACACCCTTTTACACTTAAAAAAGTTTCTGTGACCCCCGAAGAATGGGGTCCTGGAAATATGTATTAGTTCAACAACGGTACTTCCTCTATCCAAGATAGCTTTGTAAGATTTCTAAATGCGCATACGATGAAATTTAAAACAAAATGACAAACAACGTAAAAAATGTTGTTTCATCACAATAGAGATGTTGTGAACATTTTGAATTATAAGGAAGAGCACAAATTGGATATAATATTTTGGTTATTTTATATAATCATAAGTTTTTCAATAGTTCTTACATTATTTCTTCAATGTTAATCTGCATATAAAATTGTAAAGTTGGTACGAATAAATTTGCTGCAATAATAAGATTAATATATGGAGCACTGCTTTATTCTGTCGAGTCTCTTTTTGTGCGGTTTATTTTTGTATGCAAATTCTAGAAAAAAACTAGAATATTATTTTTTAAATATTATTTAAGAATATTTTATCATTAAAATAAGAGGACTCGTTTCAGTATGTAAATAATTAATAGTGTATCAATGCTACCAAAGTTGATTATGCGTAAGTATTAATATTTCACATTTATTAGTGCAATTCACGGTATGAGACTAATGAACTAATCTATATACATACGATTTTCTATGATTTATCGTTTCTCATAAGAACGAGATAAATTACGATTCGTCTCTAATTGTTACCGCAGCACAGTTCAATACTCTTAATAAAGAGATTTATGTGAATTCTTTCCTCCGATTCTCTGTTATGGCATTCTTCGGTTTGAATTTTTACGATCGCCTTCGCTAGCTATAATTGAGCTTTTTCTTTACGATTCGCATTTGTTCGGCGTAAGAATAAAGACGATACGATCGCGATTAAATACAAATTACGCCTCCCTTTCTTCTCTCTTTATATTCCTCTTTCTCTCTCTCTTTCTCACACACACATACTCTCTCCTCGCTATTTATGACTACGTCTTTCAATTCGGCTGACTGTGCAGAAATAATCAAATTTGCAAATTGGATTTGCGCCTGGAACCGCAGCGTGAAATTGTTTAATTATATGCCTCTTTATTGTCCTCCCTAATACTTCTACCATATCTCTCGATACCAGTTATTTTTTTAACAACACTTTGCAGGAGAATCTTAAAGGATTAAACTTAATCTCTTGAACTGTTAACCTTTTTGGGCGAGCTGAAGTGGTTGAAGAATGCGGGTATTAGGAGGGATGCTGTTGACACTCGGATCTGTGCTCTTCCTTTTTTTTTGTGTAACATCTTAAATAAGCTGACATCATGTATGCAGATGCTTTCTAATTAAAGACATAAATCTTAGTTGAAATGCGCACACAATGGGCAATATCACTTAGCCCCGAGGAATTTACAACTCTATCAATCTTTTCCCTGCCCGTTATCACAGCCCCCACACCGGCCGACCATTTTGCAATTGCAATCCGCGTTTTACGACACTCAAATTTTTACGATACGTTTTTTATTAATGTGAACATTTAATGCAAATAAAAACTGAGACTATAATAATAAATGTATTGTTTATTGCAGGAGACACGTCTGCGTTAGTCCAAAGAAACCAGTGAAGACAAAACAGAGCTACTGCAAACCGACGTACAAGAAATATCAGCAGAGATGCAACGATAACCAAATGTGTAACGGCATAAAGTAAATATGATATGCTATTAAATCTTACTAGGTGACACTCAAATCTGCTCAATCACTTTTTAAACAACTCAAAATGAAAAGTTTTAGTTTCATTTTGAAATATTCTCAATTGAACTATTTCACTAAGTAACTGTTTCTTAAACATATTCATATAAACGCGTATATCAAATATTAGATATTTTCATTGTTATAATTGTTATCAAATTTATTATATTAAATAATATTATAGTTAGCCTTTGTTAACTTATAATAAAATACCATGTTTTCTGTTATAAGAGGCATTAACCAATATAATTTTGTCATAAAATTCGAATATATATATATATTGGATATATAGAAACTAAAAATTCAAAATTATTACTAATTATGTCTTATATCATTGTTAGTTACATAATATTACGGTTATATTAATATTGATTCAATATATAGTGATTGCAGGAGCAGTTTTATGATACTTTTACGTACATGTTATTCTCTTATATAATCTTTCATTTTATTAGAGTTGTCTACGAGACTGTATACACAGAAGTATCGAAGACAAGTAAATACCCGACGTACATGTGTTGTCCAGGTTGGAAGCAAATAAGCAACAGGAGTCATGGATGCAATAAACGTAAATTTTTAATCTATGATATTATTAAAACACAATTATATTGAGTCGCTTTGATGTTGAGGAATTTTATTCTGGATACAAGTGTAGATTTCGTTGGAGATCCGATCTGCTTGAGTAACGGCTGAGGTGAGGGTCTCGTTCAGACATAAAACCAATTCATCGTCGATGTTCTTTATAAATGCTATTGCTTCGGTGATTTTCTTCTTGATCTCTTTCGGTAAATCAACGGTGATTGTGGTGGCTTCGGCGATTACTCCGATTTTACAAAGCACAGTCTTGCACTCGTCCCAAGCATCGCCCAAATTGTCGATATTCGAACCGTAGTCTTTGATAATATTAATAGTCTCATCAACGATATTTTTGGCGTAATCAATATTGGATTTAATACATTCCTTGCCAGTTTCGATGACCTTATTAGGAATATTCTTAATGGCTTCTTTTTGATCTTTTACACATTCGGTCACATCGACACCCATTTGTTCGGTTTCGGCGATGAGTTCATCGATTCCAGTAAGGATTTCTCCGATCTTTCCTTTAATAGAATCGATGATAGACTCAACTAATTCTTCGGCTTTCCTCTTCAATTCATCGATAAGTTCACCGAGTTGAGCAGCGGCGTTAGCCAAGGCATCTTTAATAATATCCATAATCTTCTCGAGCAATTTCTTTAAATCATCACCCAATCCTTTCTCAATTTCATCTTGAGGTCGAGCATAACTCGCACCCTATTAAATAATTATTATTAATATAGTTTTTATAGTATCTAACTTTTAAATGTTCATCTCCAATTTGATATTAATATATTTTACTTACTTGAAGGGCGAAGATGGCAACGCATAAGCCAAACAGAAGTTTGAAATTCATTTTGTTTTGTTTTCACTACACTTTAAAATATATCATTCACATTTTTATACTTCTCTGTAATCTATGTAAAGTAAATTACTTATAAAAATAAGATCAATCTACAGATATATTGATTTATTAAAAGTAGAGATTACGTCTCGAAAAGGAAATTGTTGATAAAATCTTGATGTTTTCGTTTTCGCAAGATTTAATAAAATTTTAAATTAAAACATTTAAATTACTACTTTGCATCTAGTTATTAAATATACTCAATTAAATATTTTAACTTATACACGCATAATTTCATCAATAAATTGCGTCAATCAACAATCATATACATATTTTTATCGAGATCTAGATTCCATGTATTCACGTATTATATTTATTTTGTAAACAGCGGTTTGTCCACTGGGATGCTTGAACGGCGGGAGTTGCACCAAACCGGAAACGTGCGTCTGCCAGAAAGGATTTTCCGGAAGAGCATGTGAACTCGACGTGGACGAATGCAAGGAGGAAAAACCCTGCGACCAGAAATGCATTAACACATTCGGCAGTTTCCGATGCGAGTGCAGGGAAAATTTTACTCTACATTCAGATGGACAATCTTGTATTAGCCACAGTAGAGAAGATACATATCATCTGTGTAGCTTGTAATTAATATATTTTATTTTTTAGGTGAAGGTCCAGGCATCGAAGCAAAAGAAATGGAATTCGATTCTTTGGATCAAAGAATACACAATTTAGAAGTTGTAAGGAAATAACTTACTTAACTTTAATTGCAAGTAAATTGTAGTTGATTGAATATTATTTATCTAAACCTTATTCAAAATATTAATTTATAAGAAAAGTCATAAAAGCTCATTTGCAAAATTATGTTTTTATTTATATATATATATTTCTATTTGTAAAAATTAGTGTTTTCTAATAATAATAATATTTATTAGTTACAATGGAATCCAAGGGCTATCCACCTAAGTCTTTCCGCCCAGTGTTTTCTATTTTTCCTAATTAACTATTTATTCTTTTCGAATCAAATATTAAGTAGCAAATAATATTAAGGAATGTCTTAATTCTTCATCAAAACTATTTTTTTTTTAAATTTATTATGACTTTTCTTTTAACTAGTAACAAATATTCATTTAGCTCAATTAAAAATATTCGTAATATCAATGTACATATATGTATTTTTATTTTAGATATTTGAAGGAAATAAGAATATTAATGTGAATAAACAGTTAATTGAAATGGAAAGTAACATTAATACTATCAATACAGATTTATCAAATATTAAAAATAAAGTAAAGGATGTGGTAATATTTAAATAATATAATAATTAACTTGGATTTACTATTTTATTTATTTTTTTGTAGGAAACTTATAAAAATGAATTCAGCTTATTAAGAAACAAATTGATGTTAATAGAAAAGAAAACAGTTAAAATTGATGAGCTTGCTGCTAGATATGAGCGAATGAAAAAATGTGCTTCATTGAATAAAATTTGCATATAACGTAGCAGCACTGAAACACCAATTCACTGCCACCATTTTTTTACAATAATAAGTTTTTCTTTTAATTAATTTATATTATAAAATTTGTAAATACATTACAATCAATGTATTTTAGACTGAATATTAATTAATAAATATACTTTTCTTCATTTCTTCCTGTTCAACAGTTTCTTCTTCTGTATTTTCTTTTTCTTCTGTGTTTGTGTTTTCAACTGTTTGATCTGTTTGTTTGTCATCCAAACTGGGTATTGGCCATTCTTATCCTTGTATGTCTTTGGATCATAGATCTCCTTTATTTCACGAGTAGTGTCCATTTGATCACCATCTGCTTTAGGCTCAGATACTGTTTTACCATCAACAACTGTTGCTATCTCTGATACTTGGTCCATGTTTGGTTCTTTGTTATTTTCGTCAATGCCCAGCGTCTTCTTCAACCTAGCTAATTCCTTTTCGCCATAACGCACTCTCTTCAGAGCACGACCCTTGCGCTTCCATTTACTCCTCAAACTCTTAGCCATCTAAAAACGAAATAAATTAACATCTGCTTTAGAAAACATTAATTACCAATACTTACATTTACTTATAACAACACGTGTTTCTTAACCAAAACGAACTGAACTGACGTTAATATTAAAACATAACCTTACACAGGTTTAAACACAAAATATGGTTATTCATTTGAACTAATTTTAACTTGCTAACCTCCCGTTAGAGGGCGACAACCAAAATTGTATCAGTAAACGAAATCTCGAACAACAACCAAATAAATATGTGTAATGTAAATAAAATCATAATTTGATCAAATAAATTTACAGAAAGGTGCGGCCGTAGCCTTGTGGTCGCCTGCATCACGAAAATCTGATACGAAAGGACGTTGGTTCGATTCCCAAAAACCAACAAAAATTTGTGGTCAAACCCGAAAGTGATAGAAATCGGTGCAATCGCAAGCTCTACAACCGAAATACCGTCAATCAAATTCCCGACGTTTGAAATCCCAACTGTATCGAAATCCCGTCCGTCCGTCTGTATCGAAAATGCCTTCAATAACATTTTTAAATTATTACGGAGCGTAGTCACTTTTAAATTGTTATTAATAATAAATAACAACAATTAATAATCTAATTGTATTTGAGATTATTTCATAATGTTAAGCTTTATTATGAATAATTCAACAAAATCAAATAAATTAATAATAATTTATTGTTATTAAAAATAAAAATGAAGCACAAGGTGACAACGCTCCGAAATAATTTAAAAATGTTATTGTAGAAATTTTCGATATTGTCGGGATTTTGATATAGTCGGAATTATGGTTGTCGAGATTCTGATACAGTCGGGATCATGGTTGTCGAGATTTTGATATAGTCGGGATTTCAATAGACCAGCGGTCGGGGAACTTTTTTAACCATGAAACCTGAAAAGAAAACAATCAATGTAAATTTTATAATAAATAAAAATAATAATAAACATTATTTATTGAATTAATTTACATAATTATAAAAAAAATACATGAAAATAGTAAGTATGTAATAGACAAACAAAATAAAATTCTTAAATTGGAACAAACAAAAATTAATTGAAAACTTTCCGCCTTCAGGTTTTGGAAAAATGATCTTATGTTTGATATAATTACTTTAAAATTGGGTCTTTTTGATATAAGAGCAATTTGAATACAGTCTTCGGCGTTTAATAGATTTCTGTTTTTCGTTTTTTTGTTCATTAGAGTGGAAAAGCCTTGTTCACGAAAGTAGGTTGTTGCAAATGGCAGCAATTTTTTTACCGCCTCCTCATGTGCAATTTTGAAAGCCTATGCAGCCTTTGACAACCAAAAAGACGACAAGATTTGCTTTGGTCTCAAATTGAATACATGGATGGAAGTTCAAGAATTGCCTCTGCCAAACCTGGAGGTTCTTCTGGTATGTTAGTAATTTCACATTTAAAAGGATCTACAACCCAATTCACAGTTTGTACATCAAGATCTGAGTTTGGTAATATGAAATTAGAAAAATTACCCAAAAAAAAATCATTTTTACCCCATTTTAGGTAATTTACCCCGGTTCCCCGACCGCTGGTATAAAGGAAAAGCAAAGGACATATTTACTTTTAGTATGTTCAATTAAAATTTAGTTTGTTTTTGATTACGCACTTATACGTAAAAGCCGTACTATTCGAGGTATTTTCAATTGAATTTTATAGAATTGGAAAAATAGAATAAATTGTGTATGCGCTGATTATGTGGAGTAAGAATCGGGATAAATATTTAACAGGGTATCGTTGATAATCAATAAGAGGAGACAATAGAGCGAGTAGAGGGCGGAACGAATCCGGGCAAATATAGATAGATACTAATATCAGTTGGAACAGAAAGTAGGTAGTTCTTTTTAGGTGGAGCATCATGCTCTGTGTCTGTTAGTGTGTGTGTTCTTCATGGAGGTGGTGGAGAGGATGATAGTGGAAGGGAGACGGCAGGATGGAGAGAAAGGCTCTAATGCGCCGTCCCCGGGGAGCAGCCCCATTATCGCGCCCCTCAACGCTCAGCGACGCGGCACAATGATGCCAATTCCCAGGCGCAACAACGTATACGTTTAGTTTAATGCCTCGGTTGTCACTCCCAAATACGCCGCTGCCGCCGACGCAGCCACCACCGCCACCATCAACCCCCTTGCATCCCTCTGACCTCCCTCCTACAAACGAATAAAAACACACACACACACGCAAAAAAAGAACGACACGGAAGAACACGCAGGATGGAAACGGGCGGTCCGGGGATTCGCGTTTAACTTCCGGATTTATCCAATTTTTATTTACCCCATTCCGTTTATTGTCTCTCCGCAGTATCGGGAATCGCAAATCCGGAAACCTTGTTTCCAGATCAAGAGTACAAGTATACCTCGAATGATCTCTCATTCTCCCTCTCTCTCTCTCTCTCCTGGTCATCCAAAAACCAATCCCTTTCCTCTGCAGAAAAATCAATAGGTTTAAATGCTCAAATAAAACTCACATCTCCCAACAAAATCAACTTAATGATAACTTAACAAACAAATGTTACGACATACGTTAACTTTGATTTCCAATAAAATAAAATGATAATATTATACCAATTCTTACAAAACATCATCTTTTTAACAGAGTTTGATGTTGATACAAACATTTCAATAAAACATATTTAATATCTTTGCTTTTAATAATTTTGCATTGTTAATTTCTACAAATTTATTAAATTATAATTTGAAACTTAATTCATATTTTAATTATAATTATGATTCATATTGTTTATTTAAGTAAAAACATAACAAATTTCAAATTGTTAATATAATTAATCAATCAGTTTAAATAAGCGTACTTATTTATTATGTAATAATAAATGTAATAATTCATATTTCGTTGAATATTTATAAGATTGATAAGAAATAATTATTGAAAATATATACATATATTTCTGTCATTTTCGTGTAAATTCATTTAATTATTACATAAAAGTAAAATACGTTTATAGTTAACGTTAACTTTGATTTCAATAAAAAAAATGATAATATCATACCAATTCTTACAAAACATCATCTTTTTAACAGAGTTTAATGTTGATACAAACATTTCAATAAAAAATATTTAATATCTATGCTTTTAATAATTTTGCATTGTTAATTTCTACAAACTTAATAAATTATAATTTGATAGTTAACGTCCATATACATTTTACATAGATATGACAAAAATAATCATATTTTAATTATAATTATGGTTCATATAGTTTATTTAAGTGAAAATATAACAAATTTCAAATTGTTATTATAATTAATCAATCAGTTGAAATAAGCGAACTTATTTTTGTAATGTAATAATTATTATTTCCTTGAATATTTATAAGATTGTTAAGGAAACAAAAAATATGTTAAATAATTATTAAATATATTTGTAGTTCTTCACATAAATCTAAAAATATTAAAATATTAAAATATTAATATATTAATATATCAATATATTCTGAATGCAAAATCTATTTGATTTGTTAAATTTTGTTTTAATAATTAAATCACAAAGTTTAGATCAAAAATGTATAATGTCCTATTAGAAATAACTTAAGTTTTTTTTATTATTATTGTAATGTTACATCCACACTATTTGTGATTTGAATTGAAAATGTCTGTTAATTGTTATTGATGACATAAAATGTGTTGTTAATAGTGTGTAGATTTTGTTTTTATTTGTTGTAGCGTTGATGTTGCTAAGTATAGATTAAAGAAATTAGTAAAAAGTGTTTAAATATGTATATAAATGTTAGATAGAAACTACATATTTTTGTATGAATAAAGAAAAGTGTTCGGGGTTTTTGATGGCCGGCGGTTTGTGAGTTTATCCGGAGGATAAAAATAAGGATGGAGGAATATGAAACAACTCCTGGGGCTCGTGGTAGTAGTACTACTACGACGAGGACTACTACTACTGCTACAACTACACGGAGAGAGCGGATACATTGTTCTGGGGACTTAACATGTCCATGTTAGTCGTGGAATGATCTAACATGGAGGTCGGCGGCGTAGAGGGCGTGGAAGTCGCTCCTCCTATTTGCCCGCCCCGTGGCCGACTTCCTGACGACGACTACCGCGGAGCGATCTGTCGGCGCAAGAACGAAGCTCCGAGTCGGTGTTTTCTTGTTTTATTGCTGTATAAGCTGTTTCATTATTTCCAAGAGTTGTAGATAAGATTGGATAGAGGAGAACGGAATAATCCTCTGATTACTTTTTTCTCCCTCTCTCACCCTCCTGTCCTTCACCCAAACCGAGCCCATTCACCCATCCCCCTTACGTCCCTTTTAAGATAACTGCTTTTACGGTTTGCGCTCTTTATTTCATTCCACTCTTTTATTTTAGTCCTCTCATTGTGTTTTCGTCTTCTTTTTTTATATATATCTTTTGTGCGACAGTCGAAGAAGCAGTTTGTTTTTCGCCGATGTATCACGCAATTTTAATCTTGGATCCGTCGGATCGCTCTTCGCGTTTTCCTTCTGATTTACTTCACGTTCTTATGCTGCTGCTGCTGCTACCTTCGTCATCCGATTTTCCGGTGATGATTTTTATTATTTTGCTTCGGAAGAGATCAAAAGGGAACGCTGTTTGCTGAGCCGACCTACGCAAATACACCTGGAGAAACCTAAATCACACATTGACAGCACGTTATAATATGTGTTATATCACCGGTATATTATTACTCTCGGAGCGGAACTTTAATGCCGAGTGAGTGTTGGCAAACAGACAGCTTAGCTGGCGGTAAATGGGCAAACAATAGTGGAGAAACACCGGGTTTCGATAATCTGTTGTCTACATCCTAAAACCCTCCCTTTTCTGCTCCTCAGCCAAACCAATCCTGCTCTTGTTGGATGAGGTACTACAATATTTATACAAGTTTTGTATGTAAGGCGTTTGTCAACAGTTCAACCAAACTTTTCCCTTCTTTTGTTGTCCTCCTTTTCTCCTTTCCATTATTCACCACCGACGACTCTTGTCCGCTAATTTCTTTTCTCACACCACATCTAACTACTAAATTCTATAGCTTCAGTACTATCACCACCTAACAAAACAGCACAATTACACAGAAACTACATTTTATTAGTGAATTTCAAGAACTAAAAGGAAAGTCTACAAAATAATCAGAAACTTTAAGATTTTAAGAAATAA